CAGAGCACCACTTAGCCACCTCCCTCCAAAAGACACTTTGGGATGCATGGTGCAATAAGCGTATAAATTATCATTAAAGTATACTCTGTTTCATTGGGGCATTTCAGATTCAAGATGCTGTTTTAATGGGTTGTCTCTCAGGAAACCGCCCTCACCTGCAGTGACACATTGAATACTAAAGACTGGCGTTTAATTGGCGCAGTGCTAGTAAAATTTTGCTTCAGAGGGATTCAATTTAGGTGGTCCCAAGAAATTAAGTGATTTATCAGGTGTTAAATAGTATGTACTTCTAAACTCTGGTCTTCTACCATGCAATCCTACACCCACTGAACTTAATGAGTTTTGCCATTGACAGTACCAGAAGGATCCTCCTCCTAGTAAACAAGTTAACTAGTAAACATTAAGGCATATACTCTGCACTAACAGCCTTGGCTAAGGGTAACAGGATTCTGGCTGTGTGATGCTGAACAGTCCTTCATCATGGGAAGTCTTCAGTGGGAGAGGGCTCCTTGCAAAAACAGCATCAATGAAGTACTAGGAGACATAACCCATCAGCTAAAAATTAAGTAAATCTGGAGAAGCCAGCTAAGATTGAAAGCTCAGACACTGCTGATTGTTTGCCCTTTGGCTTTTCTGTTTTTCCTCTCTCTTATTTTAAACGATTACAAAGTACATCCTCCAATCCAAAATGAGCACCCATGAGACAAGTCCTGGAGCTACAGGTTTACTGTACTGACTTCTGCAGCCACCACATACAGGTCAACACAAGAGAAAGTGCCTATATCCCCCAGCGTGCATCTAGAAAAAAATCTCCACTGAAACCAGTTGTGAAATCTGAATCGCAGTAAGGCTCTGTGCCTTCACTGCTGCCCACAGAAAGCACTCTCAGCTCAAACATCAGCCAGGTGGCACACAAGGGAGCCTGGGCTCAGAGAAGCCCTGGTCTGGGAGACCTGAAGCAGCTGATCTCCCCCCATATCCCCAGTTTCAGGTTCCCTTCGACTCCACACTTGTGCCAGCACAACTGTTTGTATAGTCACATGGTAAATCAAACAAAACAACTCATATCTATAAAAAGGAAAATAAACTGTGCTCTTTGGGACCCTTCCATTTACCTACTGAATTTTGAGTCTCTGCATAACACCACGTCTATATTCTCAAGGTATAATAATTTCAGGCAAAAAATAAGGAGATCTTGATAATTACAAAGCTCCAGGTGAGGTTTTAAACAGAATTTACCATCAACTGGACCTTAACCACAAAAATCATCAACTGTGTCTAAACTCCTAATCCTGTCTCCTGTTGAGCATTCGCTCTCATGTAAGCCTTTGCAAAATGTTTACACTCTCCTAGTGCCTCAGTTCTCCCATCTGTGGGAGGAGAGGTGAGGCCAAAAGGATCACTTGCCAGTACTGTAATGAGTGTCAACATTGTGGTAGTGTTTACAATAATATAATCAGTTAACTACTATGGCTCAGGATCAGAGGAACAGGTTTGCTACCAACACAGATATTCTAACAACTGAGGAAAAAAAGGTGTCTGAATATGACAACCATACCAAACACCCCTTCCCAACCCACCGCAGAGTCAAAGCTTCAGACCCTCTCAGACTGGAGACCAACACAACCCCAAAGCCTACCAATTCATGCAGAGAGTATACTGATGCCCTAAGCTATAGCAAACACTTCATTCTCATCTCTGACCCCCAAGGTTTTATTTTTTAAACCCCAGTGATAACTTCTCTCTGCAGCTTTAGACTCTACACACACACTTAACTTTGGTGCTACAACAGCACAGTGGGACTGCTTGCCATCCACCAGGCAAGCACACATCCAAGTGTTGGCAAGGTCTGGATATTAGCATTGTATTTTTCATTTCTCAGAGGAGGAGTCAGTAAGCAGCTGGGGTATAAGCAAAGCACTAGCCTTAACTCTTTGCTGAAGCTTTCCATGGTTCATCACCACGGGTATTATGGCATCTACTGTGTGCACCCTTGTCCCACACCCAAGGAGGAAGAGGAGAAAAAAACCAAGCAGAAGAACAACAAAACAACACATTCACCAGCATTACTGCTTCCAGTTCACAGGCTCCTAATGAAACTTCCTGACACCCTTGTAGCACAATACTTGCCTACTTTTCAGAACAACACAGCAGCTTAGCAGCAAAGTTGGGGTACAGTGGGGACCTTGCTCCTCTGCCTCAACATCAAGCTCCATGCCACCACCCAGACTGGAACACTGAAAAAACTATCAGTTGTACTCATATAATCACACTACCAGTTAAACAGCTCCTCTTAAATCCAGCTGCTGAGTACAATCACCTCGAACACTGCTTGGTTGAAAGAAGAGTCAAAAAAACAATGGTAGTTTGAAAAGCTGAAGTGAAAGTTACCCGGAATGGTTTGACTCGTGAAGAAAAGCTTTCATTTAAAGTTCACATTTCTGTCTGAAAAGTTGTACTTTCTGTATTTGAAATCATCAAAATAACCACCAGAGAAGCCAGTAACAGCAGTTTCTGTCCTCTGACAAGATAATTGGAAGGGTCTGCATGGAAACTGCACATAAACAAACTATACATTAAAAAATTAAAGTAAGTTCAGATCATAACATTTAGAATTAGTCAATTAAAAAAAAAATCAGTTTTCCAATGTCTGCCTAAATGTAATGAAAATTTGGCATTTATTCATTACAAGACTGAAGTAGAAGTCTGCTTGTATCTACCTTGCTCCTGCTAGGTAGCTGATTCCTTACAGTATGATTCTATAATGCACCTTACTGCTGCTAGGGAAGAACCAGCTTTACAGTTCCTGAAATCAACAGTAGAATTTCTCCTGACTTCAGTAAGAGCAGAAGTAAGCCTTGCATTTTCAAAATGACACAGTGAAAAAACAAGGAAATACAACTAATACGACACTACTTTTTCATGACATTCATTTACGTTCTTCTGTCCAGAGAACACATCCTACCTTCCCATAGGGTTTATTAAAAAGAAAAAAAGACAAGCAGTAGTTATATTTCATTTTATATATATAGGAATTCAATGAGTCAGTTGCACACGTTTTGCCTGCATTAGCATTTCACCAATACTGTAACGCGCATACAATACCCCATTATCCAATTTGTCTGTCTGTGCTATGAAAAGTCAAACTAGACTCTAAGCCACGAGACTTCACGGGATACAGGCCTGACTGCATTTAACTCAGCAAGAGAAAATACACCCAGAAGCTTTCAAATTGTGTTCATACTGTATAGAACGCAAGACTCCCCCAAACACACACGGGACAAGCAAACAAAAGAACATCATGCTGAATAAGTGTTTATTCTAGGCTCTTCCCCTTAAGAGAGAGTCTGGAAATCACCTCTTCCTTCCAGAGTGGGGGAGACAACCACGAAAGATCTCTTACTCGGGCAGAATTAGTCAGGAGCAGAAGGTAGACTCCTGGCTTGCAATAAGGCAAAGTGTCTCCTAAACAAAACACAGAAATGAGGGGCAAGGGAGAGAGGAAAGCACTGTTTCTAATGGGCTGCTAGATAGGAAGGGTCTGGACAAAAATGGAAACTCAATTTTGCTTCCATTGTCTCAGCTTCATGCTACCTCCACTTTAAACAAGAAACTTCACGGGTTTTCCTTTTCAACTGGCCAAGGTATGGAGAAACACATTCCTCAGTCCCTGGTAGAGAGGGTCGGGCTGCGCAGTCCTAGCTCCCCTACCTGCCGGCCGGCAAGCGATGCCAGTAATTGCAGCGCCTAAAAATAAAACATACTAATGCGGATATTAAAAAAAAAAAAAAAAAAAAGAGCCCTACAACCCACTGCTGGTGGAAGCAGCAGCGGCTGCATCTCCCGGACGGCAGAAAACTTTCTACGAAGTTGCTGGCGGGAACGGTGGGGTACTGGCCCCGGGGGAGGCCGGGCCGGGCTCTGGGGCTCCCTTTAAAGCTCCCTGCCGTGAAGAACCACGCCACCACCAAACCCGGGTCGCGGCTGCCGTGTCCCCTAGGGCTGCGCAGGGCGCTGACAGCCGCCGGGAGCCCCGTTCCCCCGCCCGCGGCGGGAGCCAGCGCGGGGAGCGCCCCGCTCCGCGCTGCCGCACCCCGCGAACGCGCTGGGGGGCACGACCTCCCGGGACCGCACTTCGCGCGGCGTAAAACGGGAGAGAGAGGAAAACAGTTATTTTCATCAAAATAACCCTGGGCAAAATACAGCGAAATCCACCGCCCTGAGGCGCCCGCGGGCGCAACCCGCGCTGACAGGGGCCGGACAGAGGGACGGGGCTTTACCTTGATGCAACACTGAGCAGAAGCGTCGGACATCTCTCAGGAGGGACTCTGCGGAGCCTGGCGGGGCAGGCGCAGACGGGCAGACGGGAAGTTCTCGGGCTTTCCCCACTTTACGCTCCTCTCCCGGCCCGGCGGCGCGGCCCCACCCGGCCCGGCCCCTCAAGGGGAAGTTACCGCCGGCAGCGCGGCCGGGGGCGGGCGCGGCGCTGCCGGGGCTGGGGGGGTCACCCCGCCGGTTCCCGGTGCCGGGTCCGCTCCTCGATCCGCCGCCGCCGCCCCCCCCCCCCCCCTCCCCGCACGCCGACGGCTCCGCGCGCGCCTGCCCTGCGCGCTCTCTGCCCGCGCGGCTCCGCGTGAGAGGCGATGTGCACGCGCGGGCGGGGGGGAAGAGGGAGGGGGCGCGGAAGGTGGGGGAGGGCGCGGCCCCGATCCCCGCCGGTGTTTTCCTTCCTGGAAAAGAGAGAAACCGAAAGACGGCAGCGGGGGCCGGGCCGGGCGGAGCATTACGCCCCGCCCCGCGCCACCGCTCATTGATCCGGAGTTTCAGGGCCGAAACTGACGTGGGTTCCCGGCACCCGCGCCGCCCCTTAAAGGGGCCGCGGCCGGCGGGGACGGGCCAGGGCCAGGGCGCGCAGGCAGCGGTACCGGTGCCGCGCGGGCGGAGCGGGAGCGCGGCTCTCTGTGGCCGGCCCGTATCGGCACCCAAGAGCGCCGGCGAAAGCGGAGGGGAGGCTGGAAGGCCGCAGTCGGGGTCGCGTCGCTTTATACAAAGTGCCGTTTGGCTCCACGCGGTGCCGCCGCCCCCGCGAGAGCTCGCGTGGGGCCTTTAAGCACCGCCCGCTGGTGCCGGGGCGGGTAGTGGATGTGGCCACGGGCGGACCCGCGGCAGCACAATGAGCCTTGTTTCGCCGCCAGGGCCGCCGCTTTAAGAGCCCTGGCCAGGAAATGCGGCGCGGGGCACGGCGGGGCACGGGAAGTTCGCGGGGGCGCCGCCACCCCGTTTCCCCAGCCCTGCGCTCGGCCCGGCCCGGCCCCGGTGCGCTGCCCGCGTTCAGACCCCGGCGCGGTCGCACCGGCTCAGGGTTTCGGGGAGGTGGTGTATCACCCGCCGCGTGTGGGACACGTAGCAGCGTGTGTGATTTCCAGCCGTGTCGGTGTTAACGCTGTTAACACCCTCTGACAGTACAGCCCCGGCCCTCGTGACGAGAGTGAAAAGGGTGGAGGGAAAGGTGAAAAATACCTCGGCCTTATCTTCTTCTAAATCTCTCTGTGATTTTACAGGCAGTTTTTGGTGTCCTGGCTGGTTTTTGGATGTACCCACTGTATTGCAAGTCCCGAACGTGCTTGGGAGCAGATGACTGCTTTGTACCCATTGCACTGCGAGGCAGAACTGCCTTGGGAATCTGCTGTAAGGATGCTGTGCATTGGGATAGAACAGGCTCCTATTAAGTGATTTGGCGCTACTGAAAATAGCGAACGAGAGGGAATCCAGCCTCTGTAGTTCAGAGCAAACTTTAGCTCGCATTACAAGACACCTGCTTAAGCGTGGCATGCTGGCATCAAATGCAGTGTTGCTTCACCTGCGTGGCCAAGAGGAGAGACTGCTGAGGCCTCCCAGTAGGCACCCCTTAGTCCATTTTGCAAACCAGGACCAACTCCTTGTAGCCTCTTACACCTTCATTTTGGCCAGTCCCTGAAAATGAGGAAGAGGGAGCAACCAGTGACCCTTTTTTAACATAGGACCAACTCAGTAATGAAGGATTCATATTTGCATGTCTTCCCTCAGTGTGGCTGAACGGCTGGAGAAGAGCTGTTGCTATTGAGAATCATAGAATCATCAAGGTTGGAAGAGACTTCTGAGATCATCCAGTCCTATAATCAACCTAGCACTACTGGGTTAGAGTAAATCACATCACCCAGTGCCAGATTGAGACACCTTTGAACACCTTCAGGAATTGTGACTCCACCTCTTCCTGAGCAGTCCCGATGGCTGACCGCCTTAACAGTGAAAAAACTTTTCCTGTTACCCAATCTGAATCTCCCCTGTCTCAGTTTAAGGCCATTTCCTCTAGTCCTCTCATTGTAGGTATGGTAGAGGAGAGTGGCCCCCACCTCACTACAGCCTCCCTTGATGTTGTAGAGAGCAATGAGGAGGTCCTCTGGAGCCTCCCCTTCCCAAGACTACAAACACAGCTCCCTCAGCCATTCCTCATAAGACATGTTTTCTACGCCCTTCTAGGCCCTTCTCTGAACATGCTTTAGCACCTCAATGTCCTTTTTAAAGTGAGGGGCCCAAAACTCAAGGTGCAACCTCACCAATGCCAAGTACAGGGGTACAATACAATGTCTGTCTTTCTCCCCTCTTATCCTTTCTGCTTCATCACCATGACATTTTGCCTTTTTACTTGCACGATTACCACTACGAAGGGCTGAGTTACTATTCTCTGTCTCATGGCAAGTTGGGAGTTTTTGTGATTCCTTATGCTAATATAGAAATTCAAGGCAGAAAAGTCCTGTTAGGTCATCTACTCTGCTCCCCTGCTGAGAGAGGATTTACAACAAGTGCATAATTGCTCTTTCATTTTAAATGCCTCAGGTGATGGGGCTTCCATCACTTTTGGAGTCTGCTTCACAGTCCAGAACGTCCCATGGTCAGGAAGATATTTAGCTTATATTTTCATTTGTTCGGTTTCAGCCAATTACTCCTGGTTATAAACATGTGTTGTACTCCTCTAAACAGTTTTACTCCTCTCTGGCTGTTTGTGTCTTACACACAGGTATGGCTATTTTCCTAGCCGTTGCTATTCTTTATCTCCTTTCATTAACCAGTCCCTGCAGCCACTTTACTATTGGTCTTCTTTGATCCCATTCAATTGCTCATCAGTTCCTCAGCCCATGGATGCCCACATTTAGGGCCTTATCCTCTGTGAATGCAGCCAAAACCACATCATAGTTTAATTAGTCTCAAAGTTGCCTCAAAGGTTGCACAGAATTTGTCACCTGACATTGCTCTGAATCTGATCTTTTCCTGTTATTCCCCAGTGTTCCCTCTTGCAGTGCAACTACAATTTATTTTTCCTTTTTCTACCTGGAGTTTCAGCATCTGTTCCTTCCCTCTGGGGTCACTGATAGCTGCTGTTCCTCACAATTTGTTTAATGGCCCTTACAAATACAGGCCTTGATCCCTCTCCGCAGACCTCTCAACCAGTATGGATGGTTGCAAGTATCTGTTCTAGACCACAACCTGTTCTAGTGCAATTGTCTTCCAGCTCTTTCTGTTCTTTGTGTTTTTCCACTACTCCACTAAATGTGAATGCAAAGGATGATAACTAGAAAAGGTAGGGAGAGAAATGGTGAATGTGTAGAGAAGGCCACAGGTATGAGTGTGGCACCTCTGTAGCTAGAAGTCAATCCCATTGAAGCTGCTGCAAGAAAGCTGGGAAGGAAATGTGACTGGGCAAAACCCATACCACACCATCCTGTGGTCTGTCCTTACCCACAGAAGCTATGCCTTAACCATGCTAGCTACATGCTAGACAGGGACTGAAGAACATCTTTGAACACTTGAACAAGGAGGACCAAACTCTTTGTAGTGTGTTAGCTTTTCTGCTTGGTTCTGCCCTTATTTCTCTGGCCTTATTTCTTCCAGTCTCTCTCATTAATTCCATCTCTTGAGACCTGACATTATGGTCCTGGCTGCTGCTCTGTGCAGAAAAAAACCGCTGCCAAATCTCCAGGTGTGCAGCATACCCATGGTTACAGGAGCGTGGTTCTGAAAAAGTAAGAGGAAAACTTTTCCAGCTCCCCTTTAGATCTGCACAGGGCAGAAAGGAAGTCCATTATCTCTCGAACAGGCTCCTAGTTAGTTTCCTTCACTCTCACCTAGAAACTACTGCTTAGCTTATCTCCATGGAGGAACCATTAGTTAAAGGCAGGATTTACAATCCAACAGAGCCACCTGTCATCAACACCCTATCCAGAATTCTCCTAACTTTTTGTTCGGGGAACTTGTTACAACTTAGTGTTGCCTGTATCAGCAACACTAATACAGGCAAAAGGCACCATGGCCTTGGGGCTCTCCCGGGAAGGGAGGGTGAGTGGCATGCTGGGGGACAGCAGCAGGATGAGAAAACCAATAGGCTGGAGTATGTTCCTTCTCCTCATAGTGACCTGAAAAATCTGGCTTTAGATGCTTGTATTTTCTGGTCTAAAGTTTGTCTCTGAAAACAAGGTGAACCCTGAAGTAAAAGAGGCAAACCACCCTTTCACTGGGACTTGTAATTTTCTGTCCACAGCAGTGCATCTCCATACCAGCTTCCACTGATTCTCTGCCACTTGGGCCTCTTTTACAGCCCTAGGACTCCGAGTGTCTTTCTACATGTACTTACTCAACAACTAGGCTAGGGGTTTTTTTCATATGTCCATAAAGGATGTTGAAGCCTTTTTCCCAAAGGGTTTAGATGCTTGGGTCCATCTGAAAGCCAAGGTTTTCATTCCTTCTTTGGTGTACCTATTTTCTGGTTTCAGCAGCGTGCAGCAATATCTCAGATGTTTGCAGTAATCATTGACTTTCATTAAGGAGACTTTGTTCATAGTAATATTTTTTCTTTTCTGTTTTTATTTGCAAACCACTCATTAGTTTCCAGTGCCCAGTTATCATTAACTCATCCTACAGTTTCTCCGCTGTTGTCTTTTCCTTCCCTTTATCTTTCTCTAGCACAACTTAACTGGCTCATTTAGTGCTCACTTCTATACTTCATTTGTATTACTAGTTTTATTTTTGTCTTCCATTGTTTGAGCAGATACAAATAGTCAGTTCATATGACTTGATGGATGTGTTGACATTACTGAGCCTCAACAGAGATGACTCTCTTCCAGACTGAGGGACAGGATCAACTCTTCAGGAACAAAGCACAGTAAGAGACAGTAAATTCCAAGATCATGGAAGGATACGTGGACGTTACCATGCAACTGCGTTTTTGGTCTTGAGGGCACACAAAGAAATCCGTGAGGGCTGGTACACGGAGGTGCTGTGGAAGTGATCCCCATTGCACGTTTAGCATTACGATTCTTTTTCCCTTACCAAATTAGTTTCTGAAAACAAATTGTATTTTATGGCCCTAGTATGCATCAGTCATGCTGCTTTTCTCATCATTAGCAGTAAGACTAGCTTTCACTCCATGTTCTCAGGCAAATCCTTTTTCCAAGATTTAGCCAGGTTAACATTTCTTGTGTTAAAAATCCCAAATCAGTTACAGCCAAGTCCTTTTGTGTTTTTGTTACAACATGGTGCCAAAAAGCAAAGCTTCCAGGGCTAGCACCCTGTAAAAGCACCCCATCCCACATTGCTGTGCTGTGCAGGTTACAGCACATCCTCCTTTGGCCATGCCAGCAACTGCCTTTAGGACTGTGAAAAGGCACAGGAATATATCATCTGTATATTTGTACATATGCATGTTTGTCCCTGTGTTTAAAGCCAGCTCAGTTCCCCTGGCTGTGGTGTAAGCAGATGGAGACTGGCAGGGACACCTTAAACTGGAATCTTGTGATCCCTCAAAGGCACAGATGCAGCTTCTCCTCTCAGCTCGTAGCATCTCTTGCTCACCTCCAAAGAGACAAGAGACTTGTCGAGGTGCCTTTCCTTGCCCCAAGACTACAAAATCTTGGCCCAACAAAATGTGTGGAAGGGCCAACAGGCATGCAATGACCAAGGACTAAAATCTGTTGTGTGTGCTCAGCAAATTGCAGAATGAAACCCTGGCAAATGAAAAAAAAGTAACATGAGTACAGCTTGTTGCACAGAATTGTGATTTATCTGCTTTTATTTTCAACAGTTACAGTGGCACCGTGATGTAGGATTTTATAGTGTATTAAATCATACCTGACGTTTATGGATATAGTTTAGAGTGCATGCATTATGATAGTTAGTGGCCTCTCTGTGGCTGAGCAGCAAACAGTTTCCACTCACAGGAAACTCCTTCCACTCCATCTTTGAGCCTTTATGTAGTTTTAGCTCAGATGCTGCCAAATACTCTCCAAAGAAAAAGATTTTGGTGAAGAACGCAAAAAATAAACCACTTTTCTATTCCTGTTGAGTTCAGATTGTCCTGATTTAAAATCGCCTTTATTTCTGTTATTGTCTTGCATTTCCAAAAGCAGGAAAGGGTTAACTGCAACTTCTTCAGGTGCTGCATATTCTTCTATCTTCCATGAGATTAAACAGATTGCCCTCTCGCAGGAAAGAGGTGGTTAGCAGCCCAAGTTGCTGATGACTTTTTTGTAGGGAGTGGCATAATTAAGACTGGAAATTTTAGCTGACCCCAATACTAGCTTGGGAGATGACTGGAAAGAGGTACAGAGGTGGGTGGATCTTGGATGCATCTGGTTCATCACTTAGACGGTGGGAGAGCAGCATTGCCACTGCTGCCTGCCCAGCACATGGTTCACTGCCCCTTCCCACCCTCGTGTGGGGACAACATCTCACTAGACTGACCTGTCTTTGCAGCCACTGCCTGAGGAAAGCAAAGGTTAAGTCTTGGGTTGTACCTATCAAGACAGGCCTGAGAGGGTAACCAGGAAGGAGGAGGAGGAGGGAGGGCATCTTGAACAAGTCCTGGCAACTGTAGCAGAGAGAAAGGCAGTTGGTGAGGATGGAGAAGGCAGTTGAGATGAGGACCAGGATTTTGGTTCAGGAGAGGCCTCGCCAGCAATTTCAAGGGAAGAGAGAGGGAGAGAATGATCAGAGAAGTAGGTGAGATAGGTGACCTTGACTGGAGGGGAATTCAGATTCCCTGCCTGTTGTCCCTATGGCCAGAGAGACTCCTCTGTGTCAGAGGCCTATGGCACAGGGAGGTTTGTGACCAGAAGAACGGAAGGCTTTGGTTGCCTGTGGAAGACACTTACATATGCCAGGGCCTGAGCTAAGTGCAGATTGCGGTGGTCGCAGCTACCACTGCAAGAGATACTCTTAGATACCACCTTAGATACCACCTTACAAGGGGTAATTAAGTTTTTACACAATCCATGTGAGGTAAGTGCACAATTCTCACTCCTGTTTTAGAGCAAGGAGAAGACAGAGGATGAGCAGCGTGCTGAGAGCCAGGTGGTGAGTCAGTGCCTGTGCTGCCATCACCAACCAGGAGCTCCTGGTTCCTAGCCTGGTCTGCAACCAGTCTCCCTGACGAGAGATGACAGTGAGCTGATTTTTCAAGCACTTTGATGAGAGAAGGAAGGTTAGAAATAGCCTGCAGCTGTTTCTAAAGAAAGTGTCAGGGCTGAAGGAGAATTTCAGAGGAGGGGAGCAGGAAAAGGGATGGTGGTGTAGTAACTACTGACACCAACAGTTATGAACAGGAAGGAAGAAAAAAATTAGAACCCAAAGATGGGGGATGGGTCAATAGAGAAGGTAGATTTTCTTGAGAAGGCCTGGTGGAGAGAGGAGGGGTGGCAGCAAGAAAAGAGCGAGCAGCAGTGGGGAAGAAGAAAAAAATACAGCGACAGCGTGCATGGTATTTGAAAGCTATTGTGTCAGGAGGCAGACGAGAAAAATGCCACCAAATATGGGGTCTTACAGGGTCTGGGCAGTTATAATAATGCTATTGTCTCTTACACAGCAGCTGGAGATCTTGGAGCCCTCCACTGAGCAGGGTAAGCATCATTACCTTTGTTTTACCTACGGGAGAACTGAGGCTCAGAGCAGTGAAGCCCCTTGCCTGTGGCCACTCAGCAAGGCCAACACATTATTCTGGTTTAAACTGTTATGATAAATGCAACTTGAAATAGGAATAGAACAGACAGGGACACACAGTTCTCAGTGGCATAGGAGAGAAAAAGAAGAGATGACTGATGTCAGCAGCCCAAATTTATTTTTTATAGCTCTAGAATACATAATGTGAAGTAAAATGACAGGTGGAAGCTGTAAGCTTTGGATCCTCAATGCTTTAAACTACAAGCTAAGTAGTTGTAACAGGCTGACACTCCACTATATGCACAAATACATGTGCACACAATAGTTCTGATGTGTGGTTTGTGCCCTTAAATAATTAACTTCCTTAGTTTTCCAACTTTCAGCAAAATTAAGGTAACTTACAACTACAAAAATGGAGACACGTGTATACCCCAGAAGACTTTCACAGCCCCCAAAGTCCTTAGAGATTGAATAGGATAGGACAGAATAGAATATTCTGGTTAGAAGGGACCTGCAATTGTCTGGAAGCTGCATATGACCACTATCCTGTTGGGGTCATCTGTTTGGGGTAAGTTATGTATCACAGGGCAGAAACTATATGCCTGACAGCCTGTGGCTGCCACATCAGAAGGAGCATTATCTGAAAAAGTAGAAGCCCAGAAAATACCCACCAGTGTTACTGGTGGATTACACTCTTTGAGGTAGCATAATGTTTTTAAGGCCTAAGAAAGTAAGATACTTTTGTTGAAGTTCCTCTTCCTTTAAAAAAATCGCCTTTCCTCACCTCTTCTTTCTCCTTTTCCTCACAAGAAATGAAGAAATGCAGCTATTTTTTACCTTACTTTGAGGAGACCATAGAGGCATTGTCCACCAGTGTATCGTTTCCTGAAGGAATCAAGAAAGAACAGTATAAAAGGCCTATTTTTACCAACACTCTTTTGGTATTAAAAGTTCTAACTATTCTAATTTCATCGTCTCTTCTTCATCCCCAGCTATTCGGAAGTATCAGGGGCTTCCTGATTCTACAAGCAGCTGGCGGATGTCTCGAAATCATCAGCCCTTGTCCTTGTGGGTGACTTTAACCTGCCGGATATCTACTGGGAGCTCAATACTGCAGAGAAGAGGCAGTCTAGGAAATTCCTGGAGTGTATAGAGGACAATTTCCTCCATCAACTGGTAAATGAACCTACCAGGGGTAAGGCCCCGCTAGACCTGCTGTTTACAAACAGAGAGGGGCTGACGGGAGATGTAGTGGTTGGAGGCCGCCTGGGAAATAGTGACCATGAAATAATAGAATTTTCAATACTCAGAGATTCAAGGAGAAACAACAATAAAACCTCTACGCTGGACTTCCGGAGGGCAGATTTTGACCTATTCAGAAGTCTAGTCCAGAGCATACCCTGGGAAACAACCCTTAAAAACAAGGGGGTCCAGGAGGGATGGATGTGCTTCAAGCAGGAAGTTTTGAGTGCACAGGAACAGGCCGTACCAGTGTGCCGAAAGGCAAGTCGGCGGGGAAGACAACCAGCTTGGTTAAACAGGGAGATTCTGAAGGAAATCAGGGATAAAAAGAGAATTTACCGACTGTGGAAGAAAGGGCTGGCTACTTACGAAGAATTCAGGAAGACAGCTAGATCATGCAGAAAGAAAATCAGGGATACAAAAGCGCAATTTGAAGTTAAATTAGCCACTTCTGTTAGGAATAACAAAAAGTCCTTCTATAAATACATTAATAACAAAAGGAGGAGCAAAGAAAACCTCCATTCTTTGAGGGACTTGGAGGGAAACATAGTTAATAGAGATGAGGAGAAGGCTGAGGTACTTAACACCTACTTTGCCTCAGTTTTCACCAGTAGAACAGGTGGCCCTCAAGGCAACCGGCCTCTGGAGCTGGTAGACAGAGATAGGAAACCAAATAGCCCCCTTGTATTCCAGGAGGAAATAGTTAGTGACTTACTGAGTCATCTGGATCCTCACAAGTCTATGGGACCAGATGGGATCCATCCTAGGGTAATGAGGGAGCTGGCAGAAGAGCTTGCCAAGCCGCTCTCCATCATCTTCCAACAATCCTGGCTCACTGGGGAGGTCCCATATGACTGGAAGTTGGCAAATATCACCCCAATCCATAAAAAAGGCTGCAAGGCTGACCCTTGTAACTACAGGCCTGTCAGCCTGACCTCGGTGCCTGGCAGAGTTATGGAGCAGATTATCCTGTGTGAAATCACACAGCAGCTACAGGACGGACAAGGGATCAGACCCAGCCAACATGGGTTTAGGAAGGGCAGATCCTGTTTGACCAACCTGATCTCCTTTTACGATCAGGTGACCCACCTGGTTGATGAGGGAAAGGCTGTGGATGTGGTCTATCTAGACTTCAGCAAAGCCTTTGACACTGTCTCCCATAGCATACTCCTGGAAAAGCTGGCAGCCCATGGCTTGGACAGGGGCACTCTGTGCTGGGTCAGGAACTGGCTCAAGGGCCGGGCCCAGAGAGTGCTGGTGAACGGGGCTGCATCCAGTTGGCGGCCGGTCACCAGTGGTGTTCCCCAGGGGTCTGTGTTGGGTCCAGTCCTTTTTAACATCTTTATCGATGATTTAGATGAGGGGATTGAGTTCATCATCAGCAAATTTGCTGATGACACCAAATTGGGAGGGAGTGTCGACCTGCTGGAAGGCAGGAGGGCTCTGCAGAGGGATCTGGATAGACTGGAGAGATGGGCTGACTCCAATGGAATGAAGTTCAACAAGGCCAAGTGCCGGGTCCTGCACTTTGGCCACAACAACCCCCTGCAGCGCTACAGGCTGGGCACAGAGTGGCTGGAGAGCAGCCAGGCGGAAAGGGACCTGGGGGTGCTGATCGACAGGAGGCTGAACATGAGCCAGCAGTGTGCCCAGGTGGCCAAGAAGGCCAATGGCATCCTGGCCTGCATCAAGAACAGTGTGGCCAGCAGGAGCAGGGAAGTGATCCTTCCCCTGTACTCTGCATTGGTGAGGCCACACCTTGAGTATTGTGTTCAGCTCTGAGCCCCTCAGTTCAGGAAGGATATTGAGGTGCTGGAGCGGGTCCAGAGAAGAGCAACGAGGCTGGTGAAGGGACTGGAGCACAAGTCCTATGAGGAGAGGTTGAGGGAGCTGGGGTTGTTCAGTCTGGAGAAGAGAAGGCTTAGAGACGACCTCATCACTCTCTTCAACTACCTGAAGGGAGGTTATAGCCAGGTGGGGGTTGGTCTCTTCTCCCAGGCAACCAACAATAGGACAAGGGGACATGGGCTCAAGCTCTGCCAGGGGAGGTTTAGGTTAGATGTTAGGAAGAAATTCTTTACAGAGAGGGTTATCAGGCATTGGAACGGCCTACCCAGAGAGGTGGTGGATTCACCATCCCTGGAGGTTTTTAAAAAGAGATTGGACGTGGCCCTTAGTGCCATGATATAGTAATTGGAGTTGGATCAGGGGTTGGACTTGATGATCTTGGAGGTCTTTTCCAACCCAATCTATTCTATGATTCTATTCTATGATTCCTCATTTCCTTCCCTCTTTCCGACTTCCATATTTCCTTTCCCTCCTCCTTGTGCAGAGGGCCATGGCACTTCATCTGTGCACTGCTACCACCCTCTGGGCACCGTCCACATCGCAGTCCTGTCTGCAGGAGTGCCCTGAGCTCCACCACCTGCCTCGGATATCTCTGTGAGATAAATGCTGCCTTTCAGTGTACCCAGTAAAAAGAGACAGTGATTTACACCTTCTGATGCAGCTTTACGCAATGCCTGTTTCGACCACTTGCTTTTGTAAAGAGACTTCATCTGGGTGAAAAATGCAAAGGTAAACACTTCCAAATGTGTTGGTCCTCCACTGGTCCAACACATGTGGTTGGTGGGTTCATCTCCTCGTGAGTCCATGTAAGGATGCACCCTTTGAAAAAAAAGTTCAGTAGCATCTCTAACACTTCTCAAAAACAAGCTATTCCTTCTTTTCCTCTCATCTACCACCTTGTCCATAGCCAAGTGCTCATTTATTTAAAGAACGAAAAGCTATCAGGAAAAAACACATCTACTATGCCCACCGTTTTGCTATAAAAGTATATTTCCCAAAATTAAAACCAAGAACTCTTGACATGCAGGATTCGTTTTTCCTTTTTTCACTTTTGCCCACAAGAGAGACCGTGGCTATCTGCCCAGATGAAGAGAGAGCAACAGAAAACAGTGGCATCTTGCATCACACCATTTTCAATGGTCAAAACTGGCATGTCACAGGATGTGAAAAGCAATGAATGTCAAAGTCAAAGGAACTTTGTACCAAGGCTGTACTTTATCTCTGGTTCCTCTCTGGGTACCAACAGCAAATGTGTATCTTTGGGTGATATTTGTGGAAAGTAAATATATTTTGTCTATGCCGTGGCTTACCTTTGGGGGTACTGCTTCTTACACCATTTTCTAATGTTGATGACACGATGTATTACAGTAGTAATAATGAAAAACAACAACTACAATAACAAAAATAGAACAAAAAACCCCCAACCCCAAACCAACAACAAACACGCAAAAAAACCCCCCAACTTCATAATCCAGTATAGAAAATTAAGTTCATCAGACAAAGATTTCCCACACTGCAACTTATTTTCTCAGATGATGTGTGTTCTTTTTGAGAAGCAGATGCTCTATTTCATTGAATATAACAGATGATTATGGAAATTACAACACCTGTTTGTAATCAAGATAAGGGTTTGGATTATTTTGCTTTATGATTCTAAATCTCTCACTAGCTGAGTGGGTAAAAACATACATAAGGCTGAATGACTCATCCTTGTGCTTCACAGGTAGATGTGTCTGCCATCAAAACCTACTGAGAGAGCAGAGGTGAAGAGGGCATGTCTTAGACGTCCCTCCTTGATACACCTTCCCACAGATGAATCTCCAAAGATACAGAAAGTCCTTTCTCAAACTTTCTTACAAGCTGGAAAACTTCAAAATATCTTTGCAAAAGAAATAACATTTTTGTATGGTGTTCTTTTCCCCAGCAACTTGTGTAGTTTCTACAACAACTCTGTCTCCAAAAATCCCAGGCTGGCTCCTATACCATTTATTAAGTCCCAAACTCTTCTAGTTGCCCACCAGCCAGCAAGTCTGACCAATGCAGAATAGAGGAAAGGATGGGGGAAAAAATATCAAAAAGTGTCACAGTTTAAAGACACCAAATCTGTAAGGAAGGAAAGTGAGGAAAATGACAAGTTCAGGTTTTCTCCCTGAAAACCCTTGCCACCAACTGGCTCTGTTTAAAATGCCTTGTTTGATGCCAAATGCCACCTGATTTTACAAAAAAAGAAGCTGATTGAAAAGTTGCTTCCTAGCTTGTGTGAGACAGAACTCAAGTAATCTAAAACTCTAGAGATCAGTGCTGTGAATGCTTGGTGAATGACAAGACTTCCTGCATTTTGGTTAAGAAAATTCATTTTTCTGGATATGTATGTGTGCTCAAACTAAAAAAAAGATTCACTTCAAATGAAAATAAAAATCAGAAACTGACTTTTATGAGATTTTTCATCTCTTATCCCAATCAGAATCAATCACAGCATCACAGAAATGTGGCATGTGCTGATGTGGCATGATGAAGATAGACAGATCCATGTGTCTGACGATTCTATACAAATATCATTATTACCTGAATGAGATGAACCACAGTGGACGAATTGCCTAGCTGGGACATCGTCCTTCAAAAGGCAATGTACAGCTGATAAAAGAGATAGGAACAGCTCCTCAATCCTTTCAAATAGGCACCTGAATTAAAATTAAAGCTGCCACTTCGCCCACTGCTGATCATAATTTTGTCCAGTGTACCTGGAGTCATTGGTCAACCCCAGAGTGCCAGACCATACGACTGTCACAGTGCCACCCTTATCTCCAGAGTCCAGAGAACACAAAAGCTTGGGGTTTAGTACCTTGCTGGGGGAATTTGCACATGTGAGTTCACCTCTTTGTTACAGCTTTCTCACCAAACACAGATGAGAATAATGGTAAAGCAGGTGAGCATGAATGGATGAAAAAGAGAACAAGGGAGCTAGATTGTCATGTGAAAGGGGGGAGTTTAGATTTTTGCCTGTTGGTGCCCCTAGGAAAGTCGAGACCCATGTGTCCGACCGGTCTGGCAGGATTGCACAATGAGAGCCTTCACCAACAGATTCATAAAATTGGAGGGTGATTTGATTGCCTTTGTCAGGGGGTGCTTAGTCAACAGCATGAAGACCCCTCAGCGGGCCCTGCCAAAGTGTTATCTGCTGCTGGACTCACTCTAACAGTTCATGCAACAACACCTTTTATTAATACAAATTGTGGCAGGTTTGTGGTCGTCGGTGATAGGGTGCAAAAATATGTTTTAAAGCAATCTACTGGTATATATATTAAGCAAACACAAGCTGTAATCCTAAAAGCAGTATTTATAATTCTTACTAAATACATCCCTGTGGGGAGAGAATATAGGCAGTTTCAAAGTACCACAAGTTCCCCCTTTCTGCCAGGATTTCAATGGAGGGAGTCCATTGAAATGGTAGTCTTCACTTCATTCCACTCTCCATTCCATCCCTCTAAGCAGATGATTATCATCGTATGGGGAGCACATTGACTGCATTCTGTCCAGGCAGTAGCAGCTGCATTTATCACAGAATTCTTAACCTCCTCTAAATTTTAACCATATCCATCGTCCCACACAGTGTAAGAGAAAAGGTTTATTTTGTCACTTGATTTACCACCCTTGGAGACACAAAGTCAGAACGCACATAAGCCATAATAAAACCAGGTAACATGATTTGAAAGGTGAACATGGCTCTGACAGTTGTTAGTGTTGGCTTTCCATCAAACAAGAAGACACACTGCTTGTTAAACAAGTCTAACAGCACTAGTGTTTTCCAACAGCATTACTTTCTGGGACCAAGTGTTGCAATCTATAAAGTGTCTTGCTACCCTTATTTAGGAGAAGAGCCTTATGAATGTGATAATCTTTTAAGGTCCAATTTTATCATATAACATGCTGCAATTTATGTTTCCTATATATGGTTCATAATGAGATTAGTGGAGTATAAATGTTCATGCAATTTAAATAAATAGTCTCCTGAGTGTCTGGCGTTAGAAATATAGTGTTCTGTATTTACCTGCAGGCACTGATGTTGCATCCCATAACTGTAAATTATTTATGTCTGTCATATTAAAAGGCATTTGATTTTAATGGGAGAGTTTAATCTTTTCTTTGTTTCAACCACCATATAATTTGGTTAATTACCATTTGTTGGATTTTTTTTCCATTTGCCACAAAAAGGCCAAAGTCTTTCATTTAGTATTTCAAAAGCAGGCCATATAGAGTTGCCATTGGCACAGCATATGGAGCAGCCATTGACTCAGTACTGTTCAGAGATCACTATTCAGAGACCACTGTTGTAACGTAAAATTTACCCCATTAATCTTGTCTTTCCAGATTTCAATTTATATAATTTTCCATTCACACAATCTGAATGATTAATTCCCGTATTAATATTCTTACCTAATTGTTCTGATACCCAGATATTTCTTAAGTTTCAGAAAATTAATATCCCTTCTTGGTTCCAAGCCCCTCTGTGGAAGTTAACCTTTCCATATCCTAGATAAAAGTCTTCTTTAGCTCATCACCCAGCTATTAGGCACTGTAATAGTATAATCTTGATTCTCAGTAATATTCTGCTGGTGAAAGAAACAGTTATAAAGTATTTTGATAGAATTAATTGTTAATATTGAAGTTACTAGAGATAAACAAGAACTGCAAAGGTATTGTCTCACACTACAGAGCATAATTTTGCTAAGGCACTGCCATGATGAGTTTAACAGTGTTAAAAGTTCACCAATCATGATAATGCTGATATATGATGAAGGGTTTCCTCCCCATATAGACTCTTAATTTAAACCAACGAGCTCTAAAACATCACCAGCAAAATTAAGTTTGTGATGTTGCTTTGCTAAATGAGAGATCTGTGATTAACCTGCCCATCCCTGCCTCCTGATGCCTGCTCTCAGTGCTTGCAACTCTCCAGCTCAAACCTCAGCATTACAGCCTGGCCCTGCCTGCACTGGAGCCAGACCAGGTGATAGAGCCAAGGAAGAGGAGGAGAAGGAAGAAACCTTCCTGTTTGTGTAACTGGGTGGCCTGACCTTCGATGCATGGCCTGGCAGAAAGGAATGGTGTTTCTTTTCCTCATTGTATGACTGAGTCTGTAATCAGTAATTCCATGCCTTTATCCACAGCTGCTATTTTAATTTCTTTTAAAGCAAGAACCAAATTTCTCAGGCTTTAAGAGAAGGCAACTGATTGAGAGAACCATGAGTCAGTAGTGCGTCCTTGTGGACAAGAAGGCCAATGGTGTCCTGGAGTGCATTAGGAACAGTATTGCCAGGAAGTAGAGGGAGGTGATCCTGCCCCTCTACTCAGCCCTGGCGTGGCACATCTGAAGTGCTGTGTCCAGTCCTGGGCTCCTCAGTACAAGAGAGACATGGAGCTACTGGAGCAGGTCCAGTGGAAAGCTACAGAGATGCTAGAGGACTGCAGAAGAAAGGTTGAGGTATCTGGGCCTGTTCAGCCTCAAAAAGAGAGGACTGAGAGGGGACTTCATCAACGTATATCACTGTATGAAAGGAGGATGTCAAGAGGCAGCATCAGCCTCTTCTCAGTGGTGCCAAATAATAGGATAAGAGGCAGAAATTGATTCCTACAAAGTTCCACCTGAAAATGAGGAAGAACTTTACTGTGCGGCTGACCATGAAATGGAACAGATTGCCAAGAGAGTTGTAGAGTCTCCCTCACTGGAAATAATGAAGAACTGTCTGGATACATTCCTGAGCAGTGTGCTCTAGCATAATCCTTCCTAAGCAGGGAGGTAGGACTAGAAGAACCACTGTGGTCCCTTCCAAGCTTACCCATTCTGTGATTCTTTGAAAACTTTAGAAGGTTGGGATTTTTTTTTTTAATTTTCTGGCTCCTCATCTAAACCAATTGTAAATTCTCTGGAGCAACACCTCCTGAGAACAGCAAGTTAATTTTCTCCTCAAGAGAAAAGGAGGACCAGCTGAGGCTGGCATAAGTGGTAAAGGAGAAGGACAGTTTAGGTAGTGGAAATACAGGGATCTGTGGTCAGATAAGATCAGATAGGATCTGAGGAGCTAGTCTGCATATGACTCCTCCTCAGCTAAGAAAGGCAGATGCTTAAGAGACTTTGCTAATTTCCTCTGCCTGGAAACATGTAAGGAATTCAGAGCAGAACAGCAAAAGGACACATCTATTAGTTTCTCCTAAGTTAGAAAGGGCTGAAAGCCAAGAGAGACATCTTGGGGCGAATATGCTAGCCTGTCTACAGCATAGGAGAAAGTCTAAGTTCTGGAGAAAGCCTGGTACACTCTGCCTGTGAGCAGAGAAAGCTGGCAACTGTCAGTGGAAACCTAAGGGACATACAGCTATGGGACAGGAGAAAGGTTTGTTCTCTTCATAGAAAGGAAAGCCTGTAGCACCGGTGTTTTAGAGGTAGATGATAAGATGCCTGTGGAAGGGACTTACTAACAAGACCTTCTTTTCCAGGTATCTTTGGCCTGGGAGCAATCCTTTGACAGCATCACTTTTGGAGGTGGAATAAAATTTTAGTGGTTGTCTTCTGAAAGGGAATCGTGGCTCTTTCTCATAGGAGGGATAGCACATAGCCCCAGTGTTTCAGGGGTAGAAAATAAGCTGCCAGGGCAGTAATGACTAGCAAGACATTTCTGTCATGACTCCTTTGTCTAGGGAGCAATGCCTTACATAATAATGTTGGAGGTGGAACCTGAATGTTGTTGTTGGTCTTTCTAAAATAATGACAATTCTTTCCCATTGGAAGGAATGCATATATCCCAAGTTTTTCTCTGTCTAGCACTTTCAGGCTCACAGAGTTTAAAGTGGCCCATCTTTCGCAAATAAAAATCAGTAAAAACAAAAGCAGGTACTGCATTCCCCCTTCTCGTGACAATCTTTCAGATACACACCACACACTAGGAATATGCTCTCTCTTTTAAAGCTCCAGGAAACATAATGATTTTTCCTCTCTCAGATCCCGGTCAAAAGAGCCTAACCGATTCTGTCATCCTTGAGAATAAAACTAAACCAAAAAGAATCCAGCTCCAGTTAGCAAAGAGAAATGTGCCTGGAGAAAAGCTTGCTCAGAATCCTCTGCAGCAGAGCGTGAAGGGAAAAAGCACAGTTCTAATGTGTTGTGTGTACTTAAAAGGCTGCTTCTGTGTGAGTGGTACAGCAAGCCTCCTTAGGAATTGGGAGATGGCAAGTGGTGATGGTGATAAGAGATGAGAAGGAAGGTACAGAGGAGGAGTCCAAACAACCTTTCCACCGACACATTTCTCTCTGTGAACTGGAACCAGAAACTTTTCGGCTACAGCCATACTGGAGGAGTGACAAAACAGGCAATTGAGAAGAGCTGTGCAAGTACAAGGCACCGGCCATCTTTCAAAGAATCAGACCATGATTCATCTTCTATCCTCACACATATTTTGGTGAGAGAAGAATGCTCGCCCACATGGCTCGCCCAGACAAATATGCTGGGACAAAAATCTTGCTTACCCGTTGCCCCGTCTCTTTGTTCGCACCTCAACTGAGAGTCCTCTTCCCCAGAGAGATTGTAAACTGCAGTCCCACTGCAAGTGCTCTGCAACTTCCTTCTCAACTGCAAATACCATCACACTTTCCAGGCTCACTGAGGCAAAAGTGTTTATCCCCCTGTCGTTCTTTGTGAGCGCTATAGCAAGCCTCCTTAGGAGATGGCAGTTAGACCTCAAAAAAGAAGGTTTGGAAAAAGATTTCTCCCAGCAAATTTCACTGTGCTAACTGAAGCTGCAAGCTTTTGTGTTTACAAAGGACAGTGCGAGACATTACTGTCAAATATTCGTGATTACTTGGATTGAGAAACTAGTAAATACATCTGCTTCCCTGAAAATCTTGAGAATCCTATAATCTTTAGATAAGAGACATTGTTTGTAAGCTTAAAAGGAGTAATCAGCATCCAAAATTAAAAACTGAGAAAGAAGTCATTCAAAATGAGAGATGCAACTGTAATTTATGGACTGGGAAAAAAAAAGTTGTGTGTTTAAAAGATAATAAAAAAACCCTGCAATTTTTAAAAACTATGCTAGATGGCAGAAAAGACCATAAAAATAATTACAGGCATTCGCCAGGTACATTTTTCTGTGCGAACTTCAGATGGAAACTTCTTTGTCGAAAAAAAACAGGGCAAAAGAGACAGAATGGGATAGTCCATAACCAGAAAGAAAGCACAAATCACCCCCTCCTTTCAAAGAATCAGTTTGCTGCACTGCTTCTGTCCTAACACATATTTCAATGAGAGAAGCATGCTATGTAAGGCTTGCCCAGAGAAGTATTCTGGGAGAAAAAGCTTGCTCACCCCTTGCCCCTTCAATGGGTCCTTGTCCATGACAGTAAAGTGACAGTCTTCTTCCCTAGTGTAAAAACTGCATGTTTTCTGCAACTTCCCTCTCAGCTGCAAGTACCATAACAGGCTATCAGGGCTCACAGAGACCAAACTGTTTATCCCACTCTCACGATACATGATGATATTTCTCGTGATACTTGTTAGAGCTGAAAAAAATAATATTTCTCCCAGCATATTTCTCTGTGCTAACTGGAGCTGCAATCATTTGTGTTTAAAAGAACACTGAAGAGAAGGGGCAATGGATGAGAAAGCTTTTTTCTAAAGGCATTTCTCTTAAGCCTTGTCTTAGAAATGTCTTTTAAGAGAGATGTCTTTTTTCCAAAACATCTCTCTTAAGCCTTGCACTTAACTCCTCAGCTGTTCGCACTTGCCTATTCTCTCACTCCTGCAGTGTGATTTTTTGCCGAAAATTTTCCAGCTCCAGTTCGCAGAGTTCAGTGTGTTGGGGGGAATCTCGTTCGAATCCCTACCCTTCACCTTCCCTCTCAGCTCACATTTGCCATCTCCCACATGTGCCATCTCCCTGCCTAAGCAGGGTTGGTATTTCACTGGCACAGGACACTGAGATGGGATAAACATATTGGTGTCAGTGAGCCTGGGAAGTGGGTGATTGTACATATACCTGAGAAGGAAGGGCAGAATATTTGCAGTGGGACTGCAG